AGGGTGGGATGTGTCGTAGATGCTTCGAGTGGGACTAAGATGTCAGAAAAGTTGCGACTTCTTCGAGAACTCATACCTTTTTCTTTCCAGTTCCGCAGAAAACCCTTTTCCTCATTCCATAATTGCAGAACAGGATTGTATTTCTCCAAATACGACTTTCTCCCTCCCCTCCCATCTGACTCGGTCAAAGTCGTAAGTGATCGTAGGGTGAGCAAGGTATGCTTACCAAGAGTTGATAGGACCTTCAAGGTGATGTTACAGAGCATTTATATTGCTTCACCTAATTCACCTCACAGATAGCCCGAAACGGTGGGGAGTAAATCAGGGACGAGGGGGTGAGGTTGAAACTAAAGTTCTTGTGAACCTAATGACATTCGTCCCTAGAGCTGCCGGGTTTCCCCTTTGTGCGCGGAAGGCTAATAGGTGTCCTCGAAACCTCGAATTGAATTCTTAGACGCCTTAAACTGTCGGATGGGTCCTGTGAACAAAAACATCGAACTTCTGCGTCTCACTACCGATTCTCTTCTAAACCCCAAGGCATTTTTGATTCTTCACGAGTCGGGTGGGCTCACCAATTTTCGAGTCGAAGGAACTTCAGAAGAGGAAATCTTACTGCTTATCTATCCCGAAATTGCTCCTTTTCGTGAGGCTTAACCCGTGGGTAGGTAAGCATATTATTTGTGGGAGGTAACATCGAATCCACGTGCCCACGCGACTCACATGGCACAACTTTCACCAATGATTATTTGATGATCTACCTTGGATCCGCTCAATTTCGTGTGTTTTCCATTCCCCAGTGCTTCCGCATTTATTCCTCATTTTCTCCAATAAAGCTATTTGTTTCAGAAATGCCGGCCTCCGGCAGAACTTCGGAGCATTACTCGCTGAGGAGGGCTGTAGTTCCCAAGACACACTTTGAAATCGAAGGCTGGCACGATCCAAAGAGGTCAAAGGTTAGACGAACTTGTTTATTAAGAAACGCGCCAGCCCAAGTCGAGAAACCTCCGCCGAAGTGGGTTCTCTTTCCAGCTTTAGCTTTATTTCTACCCAAGGTACTCGTATGGGCACATTTTCTGCTTACATTTTTCGTACAAATGGTTGGGGATGAGTGAACATTGCTGTTATTGTATGAAATTTTTTGTTAGGTTTGATCGTGGGGAAATGGCTAAGAACTTTTACTCATTGCCTAGGTTTCCTCGTATTTCTGGGTGGGAGGAGTTTAGACTCAGTAGATGGGAGGATCATCTTCTAGACAGGGTACCCCGAGCGCCTATTGAATCATGCTTCACAAAAATAAAGCATATTCCAAAGCGAGCTGTGAAGGTCTCAAAACAGTTTTACTCTCCGAATTCTGTCTCGATTTCTTTTATTTGGCTACAACATCCCCCTTCCCAAACAAAGCCCAAATTTTGGCTCTTGAGCTATCCAACTAACAATACAATAATAGAATTAGCAGTTTGACTCGGTTGTTAGCCTGGGTAACGGCATCGAGCTCCATTGTCAACAACACATTGCCTCGCCCCATGACCCGCGTCGCGGTTGCCCACGCCTATCGATATTCGAGGAGCTCGAAAGCAAGGGTCCTCCTTTTCATCTGTTCCTCATCCTTCTCAAGTAGGAAATGAGCCGTATCTTTTAGTTTAAATATGAGCTTTGAAGAGGGCTGTGTGGGCGTTCGTCGTCAATTCAGTAAAAGTTGAAATTGTGCCCATTTTGGGAAGGAATGCTAGGTAGTTAAGGCGTGAAATTTGACAAAAAGATGTGGTTTGAGTACCAGAAAAGCTTTATTAGACAGTGACCCATCCGCTATAGTGAACCTGACCAGCTCCATCCCATTCACTCAGTTGTTATCGATTTTCCTCTGAAGTTCTTTGTACTGCTGTGCTCCCACAGTTCGTGCAGAAGATCTTGAGAAAGTTTCCATGTGTGCTGCAATAGTTGTTACCACTTTGATTCGCTGTTTGTGCACAATTATTCATAACATCATGTAGTGCATGAATTTTTTCTGCAGGAGCCAGGACCATGGCCTCCTCTTCAGGAGGCGCTGAGGTAAAGGAGGTCATATATTGTATAAATTGTCGACAGCAGATTCAGCTTAGGCTTCACGTGAAATGCTGCGAATGTCCTGCTATGATTTGTGCAGAGGTGAGCCTTAAGGTGTTCTTGTTTTCGTAATCTTCGTCCACGATCGCACAGCATCGGATGCTTATCGATCGTCTGATGTGTTTGGGGCTTGAGCGATCGATACGCATCCAATGCTGTGCGATCGGTGCGATCGGACGACCGACTATGAACGTGCTCTATTTATTCTGTATTTTGACGTTAAATTCTTCAAAAACTGTTCAAACCAAACACCTTAGCTGGCCGACCAACAAGCCAAGCTTTCTTAGTTTAAGGACGTTGATGAAGCCTCTAGAAAGGCTCCTCAATGCTTTTGTCACCATCTCTACTGAGCAAGCCGCCTTCTTCAAAACTACAATTACTTAAGAGTGTTGGATCTTTTAGCTGGCATGACCGAAATTACTTTATCTGGAGGCCTTCTCATAATGTTCAGAATTTCCAAATATCCAACTTTCAGTGTTTCTCTTACGGATGTGAGGCGGGTCAGCATGTTCGAGGTCATAATTATGAAATCTGCGATCCGCTCGGTGGAAGAACTTTCGATGTGAAAGGAAGTTGGGGGGCCATCGAAGAGCGCAAGCTTCTAGCCGCTGCCTATAGGTTCAAGTTAGGCAACTGGTATGTTTTCTTTGTTCAAACTCACACCAACTTTGTTCTTTACATTAACTTTTCATCTTGTAGGGGTGAGGTGACACGATTAATGGAGACAGAACGATCCATAAGTCAAGTGCAGGAATATTATGATCGCTTTTTCATCCGTGGTCCCATCGGACAATTCGCTCTGAAACTGTTGAACTGGTATGTACCTTAAGTTGCTCAAGTTCTTTCCCTCTGCTGATACAGGTTCCGAAGCGGGATTATCCAGGTCTGGCTTATCGCAACGGAGAGGGTGTTATTCAGGATTTTAAAGGGGAAGGGTCGGTATTGACTGGGTTTTGACAATTTTGGCGGAATCCACACGAAAAGGAGATGAAATAGCCGAGTAGAGCGCATGTCGTTTCTTGAATGGTGGTGGGCGTGGAGGGGGAACGGTAAAAGAGATCGCTCGAAGGCTGGTTGTGGTTGTGGTGGTGGGAGGCTCCACTAGAGGGAGGGAAGACCGTCAAAATTTCAAAATTGGCATAACGCGGTTGTTTTCTCTGGACGAAGACGGGTGTTGTCGTCACCCATATGCACTACATTCTGCACTATATTACGGAACTGGTTAGCGAATTCTCCCTCACAAGTGTTTCACAACTGTTTCCGGAATCGGCTACTTCCGAGCTAAGGATCTCAACTCTATGCTTCTTTTCTAATGATAGGACCTACTTTCAGGGAAGAGTCGAAGCGAGCAATGCTTGCAGACGGGTCACTTGCATATAACTGCGAGGATGATCGTATAACCTACTTATTGAGTAAGTGTTGTCTTTTTTGTTGCAACATGGTTTTTATATACTTGTCTCAGATTTTGTTTGATTTTTCAAATATTATCTAACTGTATAGTGGCGATGGATGCGTACAAAGAAAGTAAGGAGAAGCTGGATCCTTGTGATGAAGATCTCACAAATAAAATGGATGCCATCATGCAGAACTACCTCTTCCGTCTGAATCTGAACGATGAAGTAAGCGTTATCAAAAACTTCCTATGTTTGGATTATTTCTATGTATATCTAGATAGCAGTAGTGGCATAATTGCGTTTTTGTTCCTGTTTTTATGCGTTTTCCTAACTCGACTTGGTTAAGCGACCTCAATGTAACGATCAGTCGGAGCTGTCTGAATTGGTCGATCTGGCTTTGAGCGATGATTCATGCGATCCTTCGGACTACGATATGGACAAGAAGGTATACACTCTCCTTCAGTACACTTTTTTATTTGAGTCGCGGTTCTTTCTCAAGTACTCTTGTCCGTAGTGTAAGTCTGGACCGGTCGCTTCTAATAGGAAGCCTAGGAAAAAGAGAAGAACTTCGGCAAGAATGGAAATTACTTAGACGTCCCCCTTGCTGAAGCGCGACGAAGAAAGAGTCATACTCGACTTACTGGAGCGAGGCACTTCCTAAGCCTTTTTTGCACAAGGTACAACTGCGCAGCTGTGAGAACTTTCGTAATATCACGCCCATTTGGGAATTCGAGCTCTCATCTTGTTTCTTTCGTTCCTCCGTTGTGGTAGTTTCATTTACATGTCCATAAAAGGGCACTAATGTTCTCGCTAAAATAACAGGGTAGGAAAAGAATGAGAAATAAAAGGAGTAGTTGAACCGGTCATTAGGGTGGATACGTATCGATTGTCCGGTCGTGCAGTCGTTGATATTGCATGGAATAGGTACCCTACCCGTACCCGTAATTCCGACTCCATTTTGTGGTGTTCTGATATACAGTTTCGAAGTGATTGACTGTAATTAGATGAGCCACGTTTATGGCTACAAAGTTCAGGCGCCTGATGATGCTTATTCAACGGGACTCGAACCGGAAAACGACAGCGAAGAGGATGATGGTAACAACCATTCAGCGTCTCCAAGCAAATCGGTATTGTTTTTAATTGTTTGAGTTTGAGGATCGATTAATTTTTTATGTCCAATTTATACTGCCTCAATAAACTTGCGTGCTGTGCTGACAGAAAAGTGTTAAGAATCTTCTCCTTTTCAGACTAAAGCAGACCCAAAACCTTCGCGCAAGTCTTCACGCCCATCTGTTGTCTTTATGAGACCAGCCAAGGTGATTGCTTTTAGCTAGGTATACTTCCGATTGTTTGCAAAGCAATGATCCATTACAGAAGAAGATAAGATGTGGTCTTCGAAAATCTACATTAGAGAAGAATGGGCGAGCATCCAGATATCGAAGGGTTCAGGCAGAAAGTTCGTCAACTGAGGATGACTCTGGAAGCGAAGATGAAGTGGAGCCTATGGAGACTGACCAAGCGTCTGTTGATGATACTCAGGATTCGATGCATGGCTTGGAAAAGGAGGACACGACGGTGCGGTAATTCTTGGCTTAGATTGCTTGTTTAGTCAGGAGTCAGACTGTTTTACTTCTGTCAGTGGATGTACTTCTCTTCAGGACGAGTGCACTGGCTCTGATTCGGAGGATCCAAAACAGGAACCTGCTAAAAAATCTGCCACTCCAACGAGCTCTGCGGTACGCAAAAGAAGGCGGGCGAAAGTCGTTTCGAAGAAGGCCCGTCGTCTGAAGGAATTCCAGAAGAGAATGGCTCGAATGACTAAAGCTGCTGAGAGAAGACTTAATGAGGTACACTAGCTGTTTCCGGTTGCCAGATCATTGTAGATGACGCGTTGCTTAGCTAAAGCCGTGACATTCTGCCATTTTCATTTTGTTGTAGAAGTTCAGGAGAGTACGATTGTAATGTTGCTTCGTATTGCAGTTGTCCGAACTGTGTCCGCTTGAGACGATTCGAGATTTACGTAACTCAAGGCCAGATCTAGCGTTGTACACTAATGACTACGTCGGCAGACCTAAAGTGCGCCAGAGTGATATGGATATGTTAGCATACAATGCAGCACGAGGAGATTTTGAATGGGTATGTTTGGCTACTGTTTGCTGTTTATTCAGCACTTGTGTCAATCGGCTAACTTATCCCTGGACGTTCTAGGAATGGTACAACGATGCTGAGCAGCTGATTAGTCGGCTCATGATTCAGGAGTCATCCGATAAAGTGGAAGACCTTGAAAATGATATCAAGTTCGCACGCATTGAAAGGTGTGTCTTAGCCTTGTCGATAACTTCTGTGGGTATTTTCTCAATAGTCCCTCTTTAGGTATTACCGCATTCTCAAAACTAGAAAAGCGTATCGTCGTGCTATAGTGGAACATGACAAGATCTCAGAATTCTTCAGATTCATGATGGTGAGCTTTATTTCAACTGCGTTTTCTAACGCTATTGCAATATTTTTCTTCGCGCTGTTCTTCAGGCCTAAGTGTATTCCCTAACGCTATTGCAATATTCTTATTCTCGCTATTCTTTAGGATTAAATCTAGAACGGGCAGAAACTCTGGGGAAAATGAAAAGTGCTCACGCACATTGGTGTAAATCCTCTCGTGCCTTTGGCCTAGTCTCCTTTACAACAAAAATGAGGTGCTTCCGGGGTTATGCATACTGACCGCATATTTTGCGATATCGTTTCCTTATACTCGTTATTGCACTTGCTTGATGTTCAATTTATTTCAGAATATGACCATGGAGAAACGCAAAGCCAGTCAAATCCTTTCTCAGCGCCCTCCTCTGGAAAAACTACTAACTCGTGCACAGCAGTGCTTAACCAAGAAAGAGACTGAGGATTTACGTACTCATGTTGAAAGTGAGTTCCCTTCAGAGAAGCATGAGAATAGTTGGTCGTGAATGTAGCATTCTTCAGAAGCTGATGAACTTATGGACAGAATTGCTAAGCTCCAAGAATTACAACGTAATGGTGTACTAACTCTAAAAGGTTCGTCCAATTTTCTTACTGTCTGTCAATCATTTTCGCTCTTTGGTCGACTGATTTCTCATCTCTGATGCGGAATCAATCGACGGTCCACCAGGGGCTTTACAAGCCGAAGCAAACAGCTTGCGTCAATTTTCGGTCTCGGAAAAAAGAAGAGAATATGCTTTGACTTGTTTCTGGTGTACACAAAAAACTGACGTACGCTGTTGCAGAAGCCGTGCTCCTGGTGGTCGCACTGTGCTGGACTCGCTTTCTAATGGACTCACTGCCATCGTTGCTATTCCTCAGCACGATTGTTGAACTGTACTACATAAATGTGTTGGCATGGACTCTGTTTCTCAAGAAATTGTCAAGATGCTATGGATCGCGGAACGCTCAATCAAGACGAGGCCTTTTGTCTTGCTCACTTCAGTTTAACATAGAAGAGCTTATGCTCGTAGAGGAGGTAGTTGTCGACAACCTCGAAGGTCAACTATCATCGCCTTTGCTTTCGTTAAAATTCCGTAGCCCACGATCTGGTACTGCCACTCCGCTGCGACGTTTCCGGCACCGTGGACGGTTCGTCGGCCACAATAATGGAGGAGCTATGGAGGATTCTCAGCAAGGCTCGTCCGGTGATATGTCTTCATCATCACAGTCCTCTGGTAGCTGTCCTGTGAATGTGGACGCTGTACTTGGTGCGAATACCGTGGAAGACATTGCTGATACTCATCCTGACTTCGCCCGTCTATTACTTGACTGCTATTCGGCTGGATGTGACCTTGAGGAGTATAAGCGAGAATTTCAACGTTTGAAAAATCTTCGAATCAAGCGCCAAGGAGGAGTCAACCAGACCCTGAGCTTTTCACTTTTCCCTTCGGTGCCCTCCGATTTGCCTGGTCACCTGTTTGTTCGATTGCTCAAATTTCATTCGCTTTATGAGGGTGCATGCAGAAAATATTTGGCCGATGTTGTCAATAGAAGAGTGGAAGCATCTCCAAGTTTCCCGTACGATTTGTCGACCGTTGGGATTCAAGATCTCATTCAAGGAGGGTCCTCCACAGAATACTACAGTGCTGCAAGTGGAAGCCAGTCCGTTGCTGGTTCATACGCCGGCTCTGATGCTCATTTCCTTGATCCATCCGATGTGGCCCAAGGCACCTCGTCTGCTGTGGCGTATTCTCCTGCTGTGAATAGCATTTACTCTCAAAGAGTCCCTGCACATGGAATGCCCATGGAGTCTACGACATGCATGCAGCGAAGTACAATGAACCATATGCATGGGAATATGTCTCAATCAATGGGCGCTTCACAGTATGTGGATAGAAGAATGACAGCAACACCTTTACCAAGCTGGTCACAGCAGTCTAACACTCCTTCTGAAATGCGCTCTCGAATGGCGACTCCACTCCCACCGTTGGAAATCAGACAGTGTCCTGTTTTGCAGTCAGGTCTTTCGACACCTATCCCCCGTGCTGAAAATCGCCCAATGCAACAAACGATTTCACATCAGAGACATATGACAACGCCGATTTCTGGAATGGAAAGTGGACAGTCGTACAGTAACATGTCTGCTCCACATAGTCAACATTATCAGCAAATGCCGAGCTCGTCTGGGATGCATGGCATGGATAATAGAAGAATGATGACTTCTACACCCATGATCGGAGGCGTTGACTCGTCAGCTCAAGCTTCACCTTTTGCGACGCCAACGAAAAAACCTCGAGCTCGCCGGAAACCTGTCGCAGCTCCACAGGCTCAAGTCCAGGGACAACAGTCGATGATCCAAAGTCGCCAGATGACTGCTACGCCAGTTCCTGGATGGCAGCAACATCAAGCCCAGTCAAATATGGCAATGCAAGGGCAACCACTTCATGTACAGAACAGAACCCTGATGTCTGCATCTGTTACACCGCTACAGAGACAACTAACGACGCCTGTTCCGGATCACCGTGAGATGATGAGCGCCACGCCGTTACCCGGCTGGGCACCTCATCAAGTAGGAAGTGGCAACAATCAAGTAGAGCGCAGCCCTTTAGTTTCTTCGCTACCGCCACTATCACAATTCACCCCAATACAACAGCCACAGGCTCGTCAAATGAAAACGCCTTATCCACCATCCCAGAGCCGTCAACTGGTAACACCGGTAGCTCATACTCAACAGCGTGCGATGAGTACGATTCCATATGAGCAGTCGTCTCACGTTTATCCACAATCACGCGAAATGATGACTCCAGTTCCTTTTGCTCAACCCGAATCGGTTAATGTTCCGTATGCCCAGTCGCAGAATATCGGAACACAGATGGGCTCCACAACAGGCGAGATGTACCCACAGCAAAGTATTCAATATCAGTGGTCAGAAGGCAGCTCAATGGATGTTTATGGCCAGCAAGGACAATTCGTGCAACAGCCCTCGTATGGCCAACAATCGCAGTTCAATCAGCAGATGAATTCTGGAAGTCAGCAGCAGGTTTCCTTTGTTGCCAATCAGACGGTACAATATCCGACAGCTACCGTGCATCCACAACAACCCCAATACCGACAGTCATCCGTTGACTCTCAGAAAGGCTCTGCTTTCTCGCAACCGTACAGTTATGTGCAACAAGGCTATCCTGTTCAGTCCGGGTTCCAGCAGCAGTCGTCATTTTCACAGGATTCGAATTTCGGTCAAAATTCCTACCCACAACGTTCACCGTATGCTCAACAACAGCAGCAACAACAACAGCTGCAAGCAGAGCAGTCGCAACAAAGCACAAAACCAAATCACTCAATTCTTCACTACAACAAGCCTTAGTCCAGCCGGTACAGCAGCAACAACAGCAGCATCATCACATCATCTGCATCAACAACAACAACAACAGCAACCGGTTCGAAGACAAGTGTATGAAAATTCTGCTCAGTTTGCTGGACAGTACAGTCAGCTGATCCCTACCTACAGCACCCAGCCAGCGTGTGGAATACAGAATGCACAACTTACGCCAGGTTCATTGCAAACTCATCAGATGCCCCGAAGTTGTGATGTTGCTGGTGCTGTTCATCCTCAGCATGGGTCAGATATTGCACATCAAGATCAGCAATCCGCTGCCAATTTTGCTTCTGGAATGATGGACATGGGTGTATCGTCGAATACGGGTGCTATAGTGGATCTTCTTCAGAGCAATGATCCGTTGGCATCTGGTGAAACCTTGGATGTCGTTCAAAGTGATTACCCTGGCATGGCATCAGCATCTATTCCTAGTGCGCCGATGATCGATCCAATGTTAGATGGCCAGATTAGGACGTTTGATATCACTCAGTGTCCTCCCCCTCCACGTAATGATTCGGAGGCGACTGTTCCGGCACGAACGTCACCAAATTCTTGTTCGCCAGGGCTAGCTGGAGACGATGATGCAAGCTCGCTAATACCGAGCTTCTTCTATCCCAAAGAGTTCGTTCAAAACGATCTCAACGACTTGAGAATAGAAGACTCGCCGATTGAAAAGGGCCTTGTCAATTGTCAACATTTCCGTTTCGATATAATCCTTGCGATGAAACACCATCGAATCGGCAAAGAAGACTACGAACGTACTCTACATGAGCTGGATGAGATGGAGAAGGAGAAGTGTGTTGGACCATTAGGAGATTTGTTGATGAAGAGATTAGGCCTCAAGCGGCAAGAACAATATAGCCATGATGGAAAGTTCAGTGTTGATGAGCTCGTCGCTGCATTCGCTGCAAACGCCACGATTCAAGAATCTGGTGCCAAAATGCCGGAGCGTAGAATGAGCTCAGAGTTGTTCAGTGAATTCCTAGATGACATCACTCCAATGCAGCCAAACACGAGCGCTGATCAGTTCCACATTCAAACTCATCCTGATTTACACCCAGTATCTCCTGCTGCTGCTCCTCCTCCTTCACTATCGAAGTCGACTGTTTTACAATCAGGTGATGCCATGAACGATCTTGGCTATCTATTGTCGGATGATGTCATTGCTGAATTCGATTCAATGTCTTCGTCGGCTCCTGCAGCAGTAAAGCCTGCATCCGTTGGTGCGCCGACACCACTTGAGCGTAGTGAACCGTTGTCTGTTGGCGCTCCGGCATCGTTTGCCCGCAGTGAACCTCTGTCAGTTGGTAGTCCTGCAATCCGTAGAGATGTCTTATTCGATAAACCGGGTGTGTCCGCGGACACCAGTATTTTGCTCACGCCAGATCTGATTGAAGGAAAGGTCAGCGCTGAGACGTTTGCTCAAAATGACATGTCAAATGCGGTGCTCACATCGTCGTCGTCAAATGTAAAATCTGTGCAATGCGGTCAGCCCGCGGCCCCTGCAGGTGACCCATTCTCGCCTTCCGATCTAGCTACTCGAGGAAACTCCACGAAAGAATCGCTTTCCAAAACTCTTTCTTCCCAACCAGAAGAGCAAATGCCGTCAACTGTTAAAGTAAACACAATATTCAGTGGTAAGGTAGCTCCGAGAAAGCCATTTCCTGAAAACGAGTCCACTCCAAAGAAATCGTTGGAAATCGGAGCCCCTGCGCAATCTGCACGCCGATCGGACGCGTTTGCCAATGAAAGCTATGGAAATTTGTCCCCTTTTGTCATCAGTCCGGAGCCACTATCAGACGAAGAAGAATGGTGGAGGAAGGATGACGAGACTCCGCCAATGCTTGGAGGGACGCCGTTGAAGATTAAGTCAGATGCTATTGACCTTAAAACCTCAATCCTAGAAAGAACGTTGGAAAATTCTAAACCTCTTGATTTTGAGATGCAGTCAAGTTCTGCCACGGAGTTGGAAGTATCTGCCAAAGCTGCCGTTACAGTCACGAAGCGGTCACCAAAAAGAAGTGAGGAAAAGGAAACCAAGAAGGAGATGGACCGATTTTTGCAATCGCCCTCGTCTTCGCATCCAATGCGTCTGAAAACCTCTGACGAAGACGAAGATGAACGGAAGTCGAAGGTGGCAGAACATGTGAAGAAACCACCGCGAAAAACTAACAGGATCCTTTTCGGTTCGGATTCGTCTTCTGAAGATTCAGCAAAGGAAGATGCTCTAATAGCTCCGTCCACGTCTCGTGCTCATCAATCTGTTTCACTTCCGTCGTTGCCTCTTGTGTCTCGAAAGAAGTCCCATTCCCCCCATGATCATCATTCACCGCGATCGGGTAAGAAGAAAGGCAGGAAGTCTTCGTTGCCGTCGAGGCCGACGAAAGAATCGAAAGAAGCTGTGCAGAAGTCCGGGTTGTCAAAAGTTGAACTATCACGTGAAGTTCTGGCGAAGCAGATCGCAGAGATAATTGAAGACGAACGAAGTAAACTGCCTCCAGAAGAGGCCAAATTTCACAAAAGACCTTTATCACCAGCATCGTTAGATGTTGTTATTCAGGATCTGATGCAGCATCACATATCGGAAGATACTAGTCCGAACAGAGAGCTTTTTGCCTCGAAATTGTTAGGAACAGATATCTTTTCAAAACTATTCTTCCGCGCGGGGAAGTGCGTATTTCGTCACTACGAAGAATTGGATGATTTCAGAAGCAAAGAAAAAGGAAGAGGTCGCAGAAAAGGTGCAGCACGCAAGAGGGATACAGAACTGTTGCGGGGAATAAGAAAATCTCGCGAAATTCAGAAGTACAAAGATGCTCTACGGGCGGCCAAGGAACCTTCTGAGGCCGAGAAAAGGGCTGCTGTTGAAAGAGCAAAGTTGGAGGCGATGCCATGGTTGGCGCGATCTACTTTCAAACCAGATGTTCAGCAAGGGACTTCTTCTAGATTTGTTATTCCGAAGAAATCTAGTGGCAATCGAAGTGGTGGGGAGAGTACCACAAGTCGCGCCACAAGTGAGACCAAACAGGAGACAAGTCGTCAAGTTGATGTAGACGTGAAATCCAGCCACCATAAAGTTGAGGAGAGAGCCAGCGAACATCACAAGAGCGGCTCATCAAACGACAAGGGCAGCCTTTCTAGGCGCAGTCGGTCGCCACCACCTCATTTAGTGGGAATCAAGAGTGTACCTCGGATACATGAAGAACGTCTGGCCAAAGTGGAATCACCCGTGTCGAGAAAAGTAGCAGAAGTTTCTGCTAGCTTCTCGTTTTATTGGATGCCCAGGTCTCACAAAGCAAAAGCAAAGCACACATGGCCACTGAAAAGATGGAGATCTGCGTCTGCAGTTATTGAAGAAGCAGTAGAGGTGCTTCCTGATAGCGCACTGGAAGAGCATCCAGAGGACGACTCTGTGTTCGAGGATGTAATGGAGGACGTCGATATAGCTGTCGACAGCTTTGCTGAAGTTCGCTTTGAAAAACCTCCTACTTCCATGGAAAGTTCGAATGCTTTTCCCACCACATCGTTTGTTTCAGCAAGGGAGTCGGAACTGGCGGCATTGGCTTTGCAAGAAGAAATGTCGAGGAGCGAGCAGGGTTCACCTGATGACCAGTACGATGCATTACGCTACCTCGCTGCTATGCCTGAATCAGAATTTTCTGGTCACAGCGATACCTATGAACCATCAACCTCTGTTAAAGTTGCGAAAAAGAGCTCAGCTCCCAAAAATCTGAGTGCAGTCTTGGAAGTTCCTACGAAAGTGTTGCCAGTGGAGCAATTGCGAAGGGAGGAAGCTCATTTTGAGCAAGCGGACTGGATCAGAATGGATCCGATCACACAACCATTCTACGGAACTGAATTCGATAACGATCCTTGGCGACTTCCCTCTTCAAGTGCGCCTGCACTGACTTCGAGACAACCGACAGAAACTGTCCAAACCGCTGACGCAGTGCCTGGTGGGAACTCCTTGTATTCAAGCCTTCAAGAAGAACTCGACACAATTGTGAGGGACACTCTTGGAGATACATTGTACAGCCCCACAGCAATAGGTGGCGCGCTTCCAATCACTACGAAACCTGCTGTTGAGAAATTTCAGTGGCCTAAGGCAGATGTGCCTGTCCGAAGTTATGCTCTTGACACCATTCTTCCGCCACTAATGTGTGATAAATCAAAGATTGCTATGTTGGACATGTGTAGGTGCCAGCGTTGCACTACAAGGTGCGAGTACTTCTGCGACCATGAAGAATGGAAGTACCTCTACGAGTGTGCCATAGCATGTCGTAAAGAGCGAGAGGAAGCTGAACGGCGTCGCTTGCCCCCACCTGATCGAGTTTGTTCGGAAACGTTCGAACTTTCAAAGAAATCCGAAAAGAAGAGTGCCAAATCTGTCTGGAAAGTGTGGCGGCGCACCTCTGATCGCGGTCAGTTGAGCATAATCAGAGCTCCTTCCAACACCAGCGTTTTCACGAGAAAGCCAGCTGCTGAAAGCGCACAGGACCGTCGATGGATTTACCAACGTACTTCAGCGGCGCAGAAATTTACCAGTGTGTCGGCTAAACGCGAATACTGTGAGCTAAAACGTCTGCCATGTTTGGAAAACTTGGTCGTGCTGCGAGAAGAGTTACAATTTTGTGAGGATCGTGAAAGTTTCTCGAGTTTTGCTTCACCAACGGTAACAGTGCTGCGCCATGAAAATGAAGCTCAAGCAAGTGCTCAGGCTATCATGCCGATATATCAAGTCTCTTATGAGAAAACCGCGATGAGTATATTCTCGGCTCCAGTAGGCATCGACCTTTACAAGGACGGATCCTCCATTGAATACAAAACTTCAGTACCAATACCGAGAACAGAAATTTTTGGCACAGAAGTAGCCGATCTTTCCGTATCGTATGAACAAGAGGATGATGCACTTTCAGCGAGAGCTACTATCAATGTCCCTCGTAAAACTTCTGCTTTATTAAATTCCACCTCGCATAGTATAGCATTAAGTGATCCTCAGTGGATTGTGCAGAGATCGGTGTGTTCGTCTGAAATATCCCTTCCGTATCCTCGGCACGACGCCACTATCTTGAGTTCTCGTCAGTCAAATGTTGAGCGGAGAAGGGCTGATGTGTCACTTTCCACCTCTGTGAAATTACCAATCCCGAGGATAACGAAATCTTCATTTGCCTATAGCTATGTAGACGAAGGATTGCAAGCAAGCGAACCCTCAGTGCAGGCTGAGATATCACTTCCACTTCCAGTGTCGGATGTCACGTTTTACAGATCCTCTCAACTGAGAGTTCGACGTAAGCGCGCAGGTGCTACGGCCAGCACAGATATCGTTCTTCCCATCCCCCGCTCAGAAGCTTTCATTCTGAGCGTCTATGAATTGGGAACAGATCAGAAGCGAGAAGATTCCCAGGCAGCGGTGGATTTCTCTGTACCTCTACCTCGGGAGGAAAGCACAATTTTGAATATCACTGAAGTGAAATTTCATCGACGTCGACAAGATTTTGCAGATATCACCACGGGGGCAATGCCTATAGCGCGTATGGAGTATACTACCACTAATATACTAAAACTAACTGTGAAACGCAAGCGTGTTGGATTCGCGGCTGCGTCCGACGCCGTTATCACTATTCCGCGTGTGTGTTTAGCTGCATTTAGTGCAACTGAAGCAGAGTTTGCTCATATACGCGAGGATTCTCTTGGATGCTCTGAGAAGGTGGTCCCAATCCCTCGAGAAGAAAGTACCATTCTTAACTCACTTACTTTGAGAGTGAAACGCACAAAGAAGCCGATTATGGAACCCATCCATTACAGTCACCCAATTCCCCGTGAAGAAGATGCGAAATTCGCTGTGTACGATTTGACTGCACGACGTCTGAGAGCCAGTGATGAGAAGGAGCTGTGCTATGCGCATCCTATTCCACGTGTGTCCCAAACGGTCTGTACAATCACAGCTCGAAGTTTTGACATGGTAAATCGTGAGGTGTATGTATTCGATTCGAATAAGGTGATGAATATCGCTGCTGAAGAAGACACATCCACCCATATCATTGATATGAACATTCATCGTCTCCGTAAGGAACAGTTATCCGTTGTCCAGCAGGTGACGAACTATTCCGCTTGGGACCAGTATGCGTTGGCCACACACTCGAGGAAGGACTCATTCGAGAACGAACTGACTTCTGACGACGTCAGCAAAAGCAGTACTACTATTGTTCCAATTCCTCTTGAAGACGTTGAAGTGCTTCGATTGTCGACAATTAGAATGTCGCGGAAAAGAAAACATGAAGAAGAATCCACCCTACTGGTGAAGAGAATCAAGATCGAAGATCGAGCAGGACTGTTTATTACAGACAAGAGCTTCACCAGTGACGCAAATCGCATTACCGAAGTCGTGTATGTCAAGGATCCGAGATTGCCGCTGCAGTGCTCAAATTCTTTCATAGCACTATCAATCAAATGGAGGTATTTTGCTCATCAGCATATGCCACACCTGGTGTTTTCCTCATATTTGACCACACAGTTCGCGACGTTACTTCAAAGGGTGTTTGCTGGAGGTGTGGATCGTTGTACGATTACAATTAATGATCTGAACAAATTATTTGCAAATATGGATGGAAGATATGATTTGAGCGTTTTCACCGATCCAAACAAAGTCATGGCAACCTGTTCTGATCCGTCGGGTCCAATTTGGAATCGCTTGATGAAACTTCGTATGCAGCGTAACTCTACAGAACTTCTTAATCGTAAAGCATTAGCACCACTGTATATATTTCTGGGAATGACGAATCTTCCAAGAGTCGGGAAACCGTGGCGAAAATGGTTGAAACCTCTCGATGCCACCACGGAATCGAGAATTGGTTGTCAACTTGCTCTCTGTATGCGAATCCCGGATATTGTTGGAGTTGATGATATGGATCCAAAATTGCAAGCTATCAAAATGTGGTGGACATTCATGATGATTCGTGGGACATTGCCATGGTATATCTATCCCTGTTTTTCTCGTCGCCAACTATTTCTTCTGGTTCGTCTTCTCGAAGCACTTGAGGAGGTGGAACGACCGCCTTTCTGCCTATATCCACCCAAGGTGTTTTTCAAAGCCGTTAAGAAAGTTCTGCGTCATGCACGTATGGATCTTATTCCGAAAGATATTTATCATCCCGATATAACAACCATGGCTACTTTGCTGAAATTGAAGCGTAATAGAGTATTTCACGTGGACCGTTCCTTACCCGAGCTGCTGTCACATTGGATGGACGACATGAATAAAATTGATGTTTATCTGGCAGCCGATGTGAAACTGAACACCATGAATTCTTCGAGTTTCCTGACTCAGAGTGAATGGGCATGGATGAATTTTGGTCAGGGTTGTGTCCCTGATGGCATTAAGTACGACCGAAATGTCAAGGTGGAGGCTACAATAGAACAGCTAACAGAATGTCTTGCTGATGTCAATTTGCCGCTTGAGCAACGGAAACAGATTTCTGTGTTGAGAACTGCCCTAGGCGCCTGGGCCAAATATGACAGTGGGCCTTCAATAGATCAGATTCCTGTGGACATAATAAATCCATTCGCATTGTCCGCATCGTTGATTGCCTTGTTGCCGATGCCTGAAGGTTTTGTAGACGAGTGCTTCACGTTCCTTGAAAAGGTGATTAGCAGTGTTTCAGACGCTTCGATTTTTTTATGTTCTCATTGTTCAGAGGTATTTTTTCCAGGTTTCGAAAAAGTCAAGCCAGCTACGCCAAAATCCAGTAAAAAGAAGCACAAAAAACTCACTAAATTGGAAATGGAAACCAAGCGAAAGTAAGTGCTGGCTTTTAAAAAATGAGCTCCTCTCCGTAACTTTGTGTCTTAAAGTCTTTGAAAAAGTCGTTCAACCTATTCAACACATAAATACACTGTAAAATACTGCTTCTAAACCACAGCGTTTCTCCATTGATGGGGCAGAGCCCTGACAGCGTTCCTCCAGAAGAAAGATGGAGTAGACTACTGAAACTATGATAGCCATAAGGGTTTAGGTGAGATGAACGGGTGCTGGTTGGGGCAGCCAGGTGATGCCTGGTCTTTCCAGCCCGCCCCTGTGCGGCGTGGGTGGGCATTATCCATAACAGTGTGAAATTACCCTTAGAACTGGTGAAATAAGTGCTCGAGACACAATCTCTTGCAATTGTTCACGGAAGCGAATTGGCTTTGTATTCCACCCCTTCAAAGTTAAGGGACAATTTTCTGAAAGTTTTTGAGACACCCTAATACACTTTTTTAAGGGCTGGCCGCCGTTGGGAAGCCTACAAGCGCTGGCACAAAGGCCAATGGCAGAACGACGATTAGTACACTGTTCGAGGAGTTTTGGCGATCACCTAAGGTGTGCAACGTTTTTTTTTCTCTGTTCTGGCCTATTAATTACCGTCACTACTTTTGATTTGCTCTTATTTATTCATTGCAGGATTTTTCAACCATTTCTGTTTTTAATAAAGAAGAGAGCATGACATCATATTCACCCAATTATAAGGTAAGCTTTAAATTGCCCTCCTGCTCATTATCTGCTATTGGTTGTGTGCTGTTCTAGAATACCCAAGTAAGTGCAGATAAAACACCAGATGAGCTCGCCACGAAATCTTCTACACCTCCTTCTAAGCTGGTACGCGAAATGGTCCATAGCATAATATTTGTAGCATGACCTACAAATATGCTTGTTTCTCATTCTCTCCTAATGTTTGGGGAATCTTGAAACTTTGCAGGGACACCTCAATCAGCAAGAATTCACCCAAGCTACAAGTAACTTCATTGAGATTGAAAGATCATCTACACAGGTAAAGGGCTTGTTACTCGTTCTCTCTTAAAGTTTGGGGAATTCGCTGTTACAAAAGATATTCTTAGCTAGAAAACCGTTATAGTATTCTCTTTTTACAGTTGATGTTCTCTCAAGGATTTCTATATTCCTAGGCTCTGTAAAGTTTCTTCACGCTCCATTCACATCCTGAAACGGGTGAGGAGGTGTGAACGCTGATTGGTAGTTGTGCCATTATGAATTGAGATTCCTTAACAAAGATTACAATCCATTTTCACAATAGGACCTTGCAGAGACTAGGGTAGAGCACGGCAGAGAATCAAAAGATGTCCAGTAGCTCAACGGGAGGCTTCTAATCTAATTTGTTGCGAGAATCTATTTAAAATGTATTTGTGGCGGTCGTATGCTGGAGGATCATTTGTTAAAGCAGTGATACAGGGAGTTACTGGTGCGGTCTTCAAAAGGATCCTTACCTTGTTGACCGGACGGGTAAGGTGCAGACCATTTGAGGTTTCGCCACAGGACCCACTAGTGAGTGCCTGGTCCTGTGGCGCAACCATTTAAGCGGTCTCTTGTCTGTTCAGCGCAACTCCTCAGAGAATTGTGCTCTTTAATTTCTTTCACCCACTTCAGGCTAAACCTCCGTCTTCCCATGGTGACGTGAAAGGTTCAAAATCCACAAAACGGTTGCGCAAGCGGAAAGACCTTGCGGTATGTTCCTGAAATACCGGTGTATTCTGAAAATGTTGTATAATCTGTGATGCCTAGGTTGGTGAGGCAAAGTCAGCATCAGAGATTATGCGCCCATTTAAAAGGTCGAAGCTCGAGGTATAGTATATTATTATGTTGTCCGTCTTTGTGGCGAATTTATATTGTTATGTGTAAAGGATTGAGAGTTGTCACTGTAGATGAGAAAACGCCGTCGAGCTAGAACAAGTGATGAAGATGGTCCTACGTCTGCAAAGCAACCAATGGCGAAGGTGATTTATCAGCATTTCGGCTCACTAGATTTCTTAATTTTCTGTGATCCACTTTTTTCTGCTTTCATTAAGGTTAAGCATGTATGGGATAGTCCCATCTTCATAGTAGTTCTAATTTCTGCACATCTGTGAACAGGTTGTCTCAAAGGATTGCTAGTTAAGGGCAATAGGAGGTAGAGAGGACAGGTAGAAGTGTAATTACCTCTAGTAACGCATCAAATGTCCTTCCGGTGCCAGAAAACTGCGGTTTGTAGAGGATGCACGTGCCGTCAATGTACCGGTAATGTAACAAAAACTGCGATGTTGCGAAGAACATAACGGGAGTTTCGTCAGGGGATAATCACCGATGCCTTTAATTGCGTTGTTTGAACTACCCCCTCTTTCACAAGAGTCCGCTTGGCGTGGAGCCGGTAATGTTTTTCTGAGAGGTGTATGGAGTGGCAGAAACCAGTAGAATAGCCTTGAACAAGTTTTTTTTTGCTTGGGTGTCTATTCCGGAGTACAAGTTTTTTTAAAACGGGACCTGAAAACCTGACGAATTGCTGGGGGGGTTGTTGAGATTTGGTTAGCAGTGGTCACATGATCATTCTGTTGCTATTTCATGACCTTATAAATATGTTCAGCACATGATTCCTTCAGATTCCTGACTACCGCTCTTCGAAGTTGAGACACACCTTGGCCAGACGCGGCATGGAAACAGAGAAAATGGTCCATGAAACTGTTTTAAGAGCGGTGAGTTTTTGCGCTGCTTTTAGCTGCCATCATTTCCGTTTTCCTTTTAACGGTGTATGCAAATGTAGTTTCAACCTTGCGTTTGAAGTGTAAATGTACTGATCCTTGCTGAGCTCCATGTGATGGCGAAGTAATGCCACTGGGCCGTTTAATACTGCGTGTTCACTTTAACGTAAGTATAGGGGTTTGCATTTGTGCGTGTCCTTGCAGGATTTTCCTTCATTCTAAGCCGGATAGAGATGATGAGTGTAGTGCTCAGAATAGTGAAAGTAGGGGGTGTTCCAATGCTGCTTTTTCCACCAACGGCTGTGCTTTGCACAATTGCTACAGCGATCACGTAACTCGACAACCTGAGTGTAATTTATTTGGGCCTTGAGGACACTTTGTGTTCATTAAGACAATCTCATTAGATTCATTGTTCCAACAATTTAGGCAGCTATTGCGGCTGTTCAAGGCTCTGATGCTCCCATACCATGTCGAAAATCCGTGAAACGACCAGCCCGTGAATACTCGTCTTCTGACGACTCTGAAGTCGTTCGACCTACCAAACCTATTCGTGTTAAGGTTAGTTCCACTGAACATTTGTGGTGCCATCTTCATTGTGCGAGTTCTACTGAATCAATGCTAGCGAACTGAATTTCAGAGAAGCCGCCCCGCGACTATTTTTGATGTGACAAACTTTGAATGGGTCCTGGAAATGTCACTACGACGTCCACGTGCATTTGTTGGCCTTTATAAGGTACCTTTTTTACATTTGCCTTGCTCATCCGCTTATGGATTTTCCCTTATTTTTCGTTTTAGACAATGAAATGTCAGTACCGAGTGCTTGAAAAACGTAGATGGGTGGAGAAGAATCGTAAGCTGTACGATAGAGCACAATTCGAAAAGGTAGTTTTTATTTGAGATTTTGGTGTGTAGCGTTTGTTAACATAGTTCGTCTAACAGTTGCGTTTTGCGTACGTAGCGTTTTCCTCTTATTATTATTGAAAATCACTTTTCTTCAATGACACCGGAGCTCAAGTGGTATTGTTTTTATTTTGTAACGTCCACTGGTGATGGTTCCGCTTGATAGGCTCGTTTTCTTACAAAAAAAATCGTTTCCTTGATTGATGTCTCTCAGGGCTTTGATCTATAAGTGTCAAATTTATATTTCCAACATAACTTTTTGCCCAGATACTTCGAGCTCTTTTGTTAACGGTAGTATCACGATATCTGGAGGGCGTTGCGGTCTTGATGAAGTCATTGAACGTTATTGGTGAAAGGCCGTTAAGAGGCGGTTCCAACCACACCCTCACGCTCGCTGATTCGTCTAAGATGCGGTGCCAACCACACTTTCACGCGCGCTGAGGGTTCTACTTCTGACGTTCAATGGCCTCATTGAAACCACACCGCGCGCTAGCCACTGTGATCACTACCGTTAAGGCGCAATGATAGTGCTGGTAAACCTCCCTGAATATTCGGTCGAGACGTTGCTGTAGCGTTTTTTTCTGTCTGTATATGACTATCCATACTTATTTTAACGTTTTGCTTACAGTTCTTGAAGGAGACTTCCCACTCTGAGGTTGAAATGATCGAGAAAACAAAGCTTCTGAAGGCAGAGAAAGACATGGAGCTTGCGTTAGGAATAAAACGAGCAGAAGCTGAGAGGATGGCAAAATTGTAGGCATTAAAACCATAAGATTTCCTATTTCGCAGAGAATGGCTTACAATTCTATCCTGCTATTCTGTTGCTACAGTATTCTTCAATAGATAAATCACTAAACTGAACTGGTATTTCAGTGCTGTCAAAGATCTGGCTCACTGGTACGGCATGAGCGCTCGTTACGCAGTACAGGCGGATGCGTTGGCCAAGAAGACACTAGAGGAAGCGAAAATGCTCGACGTTGCATTAGAGCGGCTCAAAAAGCAAGAGGAAGAGGCTGAGAAAGAGCGACAGAGGGCAGGCAAGGAGCTAGCCATCGAGAATTCTGTCTCAGCTACATTGAATTCGATTGTGCAGACGATTCAAGCCAATGAAGATCACGAGATTGAGAACGAACTTATGGAGGTGGCTGATGTAAAGAAGACGTTGATGGATATGATCGTCCGTGTTGAAAAAGTTGGAGCGGACGAGCGTAAGCACCACCCGAAGAGTGAGACAACGGAACTCCGGTTGCCAAAGATATCAGAGTTTGATGCAGATGCATCGAAGACGGCAACATTTGTTCCAATGTTCATCGATGATGTCAAAGATGACCAAATTGGATACGACGCGTCGCAGAACAGTGCATTTGGTAGTATAATTTGCATGGATAGATTGGACAAGGAATTTAGTAAGGTGAGAGTTGGTTACTTTGTGGCTGTTGTTGGGCTCTTAGTGTTTCTGTGAGACACCTAAATACACTTTTTATTCCATACCCCGGCGCAATGCAGACTAAGATAAGTGTGAAGTAGATGTCAGACTCGGCGTTCGTCCAATCGCCAAGTAGCACGGGTCGTTATTGATCCGTATGGTTCGCATTGTGAGGCCGTCTCCGATGATCCTGACGCGATGCCAGACTCGCCGCAATGCCGGCGGTGGAACCGCCGCGACTTGTTGCTGTCGCTGTCGCGATTACACAATCGTCGAGTATAATATCTACCTGAACGTGCCCTTGATTTCGTCGCGTGTGCTATTGAGTCGGGAAAGGACTAGTAGCTAGGCTAGTAGCATACACTTCTAGAACAGATATATATTTGATGTTACTTCAAGCGCTTATCTCCAATCTGCTATACGGTTTTCCGAACAGAATTATAACGCGGAATAGCTCAGCGGTGGTGGTCGAAGACCTCGCGTAGAGGTGAGGTCGGTCCTTTGCAACCCTGTCCCTTTGCTTTTGTCTGTAACGTTTCTGGAAAGGAAACCTTGACACACGTTATCCATCAATCCTTACGAAATTGCCTGCAAGACGAGTTGGTGAGCAGTTGCTGTCGAGTTTAGCCCCTGTTCCCCATGACACTTTATTTTGCCGAGTGCGTTTGAAGACGTTTTCGAGCATAATTCTCAAATATCCTCTATCATGGTGTCAAATTACCTTCAGAAGCAAATTTTCGGGAAGACCTGAAAATTTGATCTAACTTCGGAAAGGTGAGCATCAAAGATGGCTAAACTTTACAGTAACTGCTCCCAATGTCCTTGTGCACGCAATTTTAGGTAGGCGTAGATAGGATAACGTTTATGAAGCCTTCTCAGAAATGCTGCAGATAAAAGCAATGGAGCAAACTCGAAGAGGATCGATACCATGAGCTCTTATTTGAGAGCCTGGAAAACTACCGCTGGCTGGTCGGCTTCATAACTCCGTCCAGAGAATCGTTCAGCAGATTCAGAACGTAGAATTGATATCAGCCCTTAAAGGCATATTTAGTGGTATATATCTCTTCTTGAATGGCCTTGGTGAACTAGTCCTTCCTTATCTGATCACTATCAGATCAACTCTAGCGTATACGGCGACGATGAGAGAACCCTTGTTTCTCAATTCTTCGCGATCACGACCTCTTTGCATGAGCTTTTTCTGGTTTCTCTATCTATTATAGAGAATCTGGCCCTGCTTTCCTAAATTGGTGCAGAGAGCCCAAGGCAAGTAAGAGGTTAGGATTTTTTAAAAGAGGGCAAGGAGCATCGGGGTGCTCACTCCGGAGCTCCTTATCCTTCAGAAATCCCCTGACTCACTCCCAAGACTACTTGTGCAAAGGTACGGGTTGGGTACGGGTTGTGTCGAGCTATTGCGCAAAATCATCTCCTTCCGAAGCTGAAATGAGCGGCACCCAGGATTCGAAGATGAACCACTATCGATTACCTCATCTAAAAACTTGAGAGACAGTCTGAAAGAAATAAAAGCAATATAATACTGGATTTTTAACTTCATGCCGTGAAATAAACGGCAGTTGATGTAGTCTATAGAACAGATCAATTGAAATGGTGATAGACCACCTCAATCGGTCAGATTCCCGTCGCGCGGCGAGGAAGAGGAGCGGAGGTGAGCTGGCCGAGTTATCGCGCCTAGTGTGGCGGTCTACCGCCAATTTAATTCACTCGAGTTGTTCACCTCCGGCGGCATTCCCGGTTTTATCGCATCTCTTCATCTATTTGGACCCATCGCAATTCCAAAGGGTTGTTTACTAGGCATCGCTATTGTAAGAATCTATCGAGGTTCATAAATAACGTGAAATGTGAGGTCGCTTCCATACTTTGCGCCACTGTAGAATGCACACATTGCATAAAAAGTTTGGGAAGGGCCAGTATATAATGCTGGTGATGTTCATCGCGCATGAGGGGTGAATCCTCAATCAAATATTCATTCCAGTGCGCTTTTTGCACTTTCTGGACTTCCACGAACAAAATTCGCGCTTTGCACATTCCACGTCGGCGCGAAGTCTGAATGCAGCCTCAGTAGGCATTAACCACAACGCAAACGCGCAAACCACTTAGGTCTAATATATTCTAGTTCGTTCGGGGTTGTCATTCTTCATGAAATGTCTGAGCACGGCCCCATCGATGCTACTTTCTAGCTAGCGTCTGAACTCTGAACTAACGTACTGCATGCTGAACTCAGGATCTAAGTTTCGCATCAAGTCATCTTGTGTGGGAGCCGTCAGCATTAGATTTTGGCCGCAAGCTAGGGCATCGCTTTTTTGTTAGTCCGATGGTCACTAATTATTTTTATCACATGTAGCAGCAAAAAGTTGTATTTTTTGTGTAGAGATGTACATTTTCAGTTATCTGACAATCGCATTCCTCCGATTATTCACATACAAAGTCACATACCAATAACGTCGGCTTTCATATCACTGATTCTCAAAATGAGTAAGTTTTCAGCGCCGAATGTTCACTATTTTTGATTTACGGAAAGTGCCCTTTTCAGATATTCACTTCAAACCGCAATTTCCTTTCGAACCACGTTTCAAGCGTCCTCGTCGTGTTGATCGTGAACAGGACCTGTAAGTTTAAAATTGGTTATTGCTAGCGTTCTACGATTTATTTGGCTGGTTTTGCTAACGGCGGCATGTCCCAACATAGTTTTTTTAAAAATTGTTAACAGGCGAATCTAACCCATTCTTGCTGGAGAGCATTTTGAAGACAAATTTTTAGATGCCAGGTTCGGTAACTCGAAAGTTAAACTAGAGTAGCGAATTGGACCGTTGCTGAACAAAAAAGGCAAAAAGTTTACCAAGATGGAGATTGGGGCTTGCTTTTTTGTAAGCTTGATGTGCTACAGTCGAAGCCCACTAGATGCCGTGACGAGAGAATAGGCTAGTGAGAAGCAGACGCAGCCGGCTAAACCGATGTGTCCGCGCAACCAGCTGCAGACTTGGCTTTTTAGGTGATATGGCCCTAACGCCCTTGTCGCGCCCTTTCGAGCCGCAAAAAGGGCACCCGCCCTGCCTTTGTGGGCAGCTGTATCATATTCACAAAAGGGTTTAATCCACTTACTTACCTCGTGTAATGTGTCTTTAAATTGCTCCAATTGGGGTTGAGTATTTAGCTGCCCATATAGTCCATTTTTGTTCCATTTATTCACTTATTTACGTGACGGATAGCTACTGTTCAATGTTACTGATAAATTCACTGGCGCATTTCTCAGAAAAATTGATTTAAAATGAAAGACCATCTTGGGTCTGCTCCGTTAGATCATTCTGAAGACTAATTCAAGCACTTCCGAATAAAAGCTGTTGATTCGCACTCCTCTTCTGTATGTCCAGTACACAAAAAGTATTGATTCTCCTTAGTATAGGTAGGATTGTATGAATCCGAAGATACTGTTTGAATTGCACATATTATCGATCGATGCTCGCTCCCTCCTTTTTTGGCGGTTCGCAATAGGGGGGTACCCCCCAGCGCCTGGGAAAGTGGCGAGAGCCTACACGCGGACGAGAGGGTACCACCTAGAACTTTCGAAAAAGGCGGGAGCCAACGCTCAAACGAGAGGGCACCACCCAGAGCCAGGCAAAGTGAGAAAGTCAACGTACGGATGAGGGACTGAGTTCTCCTGTTAACACTTTGACTCTCTTCCTTTCTCACTCTTTCGCATAGCTGGAATCGTGGGAAGCGCCAAAATAACGAGATTAGAAATCTGGTGTCCTGACCAGGCACACCCCTGACCGCTTATATCCCCAGAACAGTGGGACATTACGTGGTGAACTGAATGGACCAGAGCGACATTTAGGGCGAGCTCAAAGAATAGGATCACTTCAAACCCTGCACTTTCTTCTAGAAGAAGTAACGTGAGCCGTTGTCGAATTTTGTTGTGCGTAAAGCTCGCCATGGTGATGATACCAACCGCTATGATCGGTTGTTTTTGAGAAGTAATAATAAGCTTGTTGGGAAATTGTGCTAACGTAGTTGAGAGGGGGTGGACAGTCGCCGCCGAGGCGCAGTGTCCGCGCGTTTTAGTGCAAACGTGAGTTAATAAATCTATGAGTCAGGGAAATGAAGGCAGTAGAAGGGGATGTGGAGAGAGGCGAGTCACTTGACATGCGTGGAGGGCTGAAGTTTGAGAGTTTACACTATGTCGCCTAGAAGGTGCGAAAATGTCGCGTGCCGCAGCGGCGACCGCCCTCCTATCCCCTCCCTGCCCCCTAATGCGCGCTGAGAAATTTTGCAAATCTGACGTGGAATAAACGAAACACCAGGTTTTCGATTCGCGCAATTTTCGAACTCTGTAATCATTCATCTATCTTCCACAGGCCAGTGGGGGTGTCATTTTTCGATAAACAACACCTTAGGGAGAGGGATATGGGAATAAAGAAGTATTCATTATTGCCATTCTCATTATTAATTGTTTTATTTATTTTTAGACTTCCTCCTGGAGATTTTTCACCGTACAGTACTGATGAGGAATGGGAAGAGTACTATGAAAAGAAGGAGCGTTTCGAGAATCATCACCCCACGGTATGCTTCAAAATTTGTGACACTTTCGCTACTCATTTCATATCGATTGGAACTACCTTTTGATTCTTCGTCCAATATTTTTACTTACTTTTTTCATTTCACCTGTATTTCCACATTTTAGATGCATCAGCTATCGTGGAGCTCTTACGGCCGCGATGAAGAAGATGATGATGAATGCATCTCAGGCCCAGAAGGACATCACCACTGCGATTGCGTCGTTGCGTCTGATCGCGCAAAGGATTGGGTATCGAATCTGGCTACGAAGCTGACGCGTAGGTGCTACTCCGAAGAAGTGCTACCGAGCTCAGGTCTCTCTGTTTCCGTTCACCGTAATCTGATTCGTTGCCGTTCTGCGCTGTCATGCCTATCTTTGGAACAGTTACCGATATTGGAAGCGCCAAAATCGGATTCGTCACCTAAAGTAGCTGAAGAAAAGTCTGGTAAACATCGAGAAAGGTCATCGTCGTTGTCGCTACTGGTTTCGAAGTCGCACTCGTCATCTCATAAGCGTCACGCTTCTGTACCAAGATCGTGGAAGCCGGCTAAACATTGGGTGCGTGATGACGTCCTACCATCAAGTCTTAGTGAATCAAGGCGTGAACGTTACATGTACCCGAGAGCGTTGTACGGATACCGCTGTCATGTTTATGGTTGCGCGGAGCTGCCTAGCGCCGAATCACGACGAAATCGTAGGCGAGGACATCACGAAACGGACATACCCGACCAGTGGATCAAACGAGATGAGAAACGTCGTTACGACTTCTTAAAAACGGCACGATTTTGGTTGGAAGATCGCACACAGCGTAATATTCCGGTGGTGTGGTGTGCCAGACCTGATCGATGTGAATCTCAATTGTCGCAACAGGATGACTTTGACATGGAGAAGGAGGATCAGTACGGCGAAGTGATACCAGCTACCGAACTACGTGAATGCCCCCTGAAATATCCCATTGCTGTATATAATCCACCACCCACATGGAATATGCCGATGCAGTTGCCACATAATGAAAAACGCACCGAAGGCTCATCGGAGCGGCTGGAGCAGTCTTCCTCTGAGCCATCAGCGTTTCAACCAGTGCTGCAAAGACCGCAGCCGATTGATCTTAACGCGATAGAGTTGGATATGCAATCGGACGACGAGTCGGATGACGTGAGTGTTCGCAGATTTTCCTAATATTCGATAGATTCATATTTTAGTACCTTCTGTGTTTATAAAAAAAAGCTGTCATCCAATCGCAGTTCGATTTTTGCGCATGGCTCGGGAGTTGTATTCTGGGCACAATACTCAACACGTACCCGTGCTCTTCTCTGATCGACTTTTTTCAGTGGGGAGTACGATAGGAATGTGCCATTGTACGCGGATCACATAACACCGGAGTCAAGCGCGAAATTTGAACCGCTAGGACCACGATGTCGCGTGTTGACCTGCTGTTACATACCAGTGGTCGCGAATACCTTACCGTTTGGTAGTTGACCTAGAACTAGCTGGCAGATAGGCAGAAAATTATTATGCAGTATTTTCAATGAATTCGGGATGAGGAATTTCGGGTTGTGATTAGTGCCCATGTTGTATCATTTATTCGTAAATGGCCTTTTTTAAGTTTGTGGAGTTTATCGGGAACATTATTATTATAGGTAGAGCTCTGTTTAGGGCTCATTCTCTTGCGACCACTTGATTGCTCTGAATGTTGATGTTTGAGCTTTGGAAGGCATCACGAACTAAACTAGCTTTGTTTTTTTATAGTGTCATTCCTGAAGATCGTAAATACCGTTTTCTTTCAGTTCCCCATAAAAACTAATGTGGAGTTCCTGAAACTTCCTCATAATGTGTTCTTATCTATGTCCTTTTTCCATCCTTTTTTCTTGGTATCCTTATATATCCTACAGGATGTTTTACTTTTATTTAGTCTATTATCAAGTTTGATTAATGTGGGCTAACTGGGCGAGGCCAGTCGCCGCCGCGGCGCGCGGCTTGCTCGCGCCCTTTAGTGCGAAGCGGAGAATCCGTGATCAGGGGATTGTAGCCCTGGATCACGGATTCTGCGCTTCGCAGTGAGGGGCGCGAACAAGCCGCCTCTCTCAGCGCGAAGGGAATTCGGGGGGTGTAGGGTGAGGGAGTCTTGACGTACATGAAACGCTGGAATTGCGAGTCCACACTTTTTGACGAGAGGACGCGAACGTACCGCGCGCGCGCTGTGACGATTGACCTCCCAAATATGTTAGCATCGCATGCAAGGTAACTACCCAGTACGTTCAAATTCCTACTGTTTCAGAAGATGCCGAATTGGCCGTTACTGAAGAAGCTTCGTGATGCCGAACGTGAGTTACTAGCAGCCGGTAATCCGATTGCTATTGAACGTCAAAAGATGCGCGAGTACAATCGTCAACTTCGCTCTGAGATGGCTCTTGAACAAAGCCTACTTGAGGAACAAATGCGTCAGATGAATCAACTTTATCTGGAATATCTCGCTGCTCAGCAACTAATTCTAGTACAGGTACTGTCAGGTTCATGGATTCATTTGACCCTAGAACAGCACGGTTTCCCCGAAACTGTGGAAAAGCAGCATGGACCCGATCAGCGCTTTCGTTCTCTGCGACGTGAGGAGCAGCAGCTCACTCGACGTCGCAATAGAGAAGCAGCGCCAATGGATCTGCTTTTTAAGTTTTTTTAAGTCCCGAATCATCATAGGGTAGTGTCAGAGTTCGCGATCCGTCGCAATTTTCGCTGATTTCCGCGATTTGCGCAATTCTCGCGATTGACGCGATTTGCGCGAAACCTGCGACGGATCGCAAAAATTGTAGGTGCCTTATTTTAACATTTGAAACACTGAATATGAAACAAGTGTAATCATGTGCAGTCGTCATTCAGCCATCACTATCAAGTATAAGTGGCGGCGGGGGGTGTCCCCCAACAGGCCCACCGCACGGCTAAGCAAGATACGCAGACGCGGCAAAGGGACGAGTCGCAGCGCATACTGTAGCGGTTAGGCGTCAGGTTAAAGAGAGTGTACCATACCACGACTCATATCGCACAGCACGCGCTGCAACTCGTCTCTTTGTCGCATCTGCGTCTCTTGCTTCGCCGCCCGGTGGGCCTGTGGGGGGGGGACACATGGCGGCGGGATTAGAGATTACCTTGCAGTATTGGTCGGGCACTTGTGATTCCCGTGACCCGTCGCGTGAATCGCGAAAATCGCGAAAATCAGCGAGACCTCCGACGGAGCGCGGACTCTGACACCAGCCATACGGAACGGAATATCATACTAACTTCAATAAAGAAGCTGCTGTTTTACCCAACAAACTGACTGATGGATTTCAGGGCGTTCCTGGCGGCATCCAAACTGGCGAAGGAGTGGCAATTGACGACAGCGCACTCAACCTTCCCCTTGTCAACGAACAGGATCAAGTTATTCCGATTCCAGATTGCAACCAAGGGGAAAGCTTGATCGAAGTTTCGCATCTTGAGTCCGATGAAGTGAATCGTGAAGTGTTGAATGCTGCTTCATCAGAAGTTGACAAGGATGTACTAGTGCAGGTGGAGGATGTACCAATGCAGGTGGATGACGATTCTGAGTGTTCTCCAAAGCCGGACGTGCTGACTTCTGGTGACGGGAGTGGTGATTCAACTTCTGGTGTGGAACAGGGATCAGTCGAATTAGCTGCAGTAGTTGATCCGCTGGTGGCGGTCACATCGTCTCCGAGCATCGTCGTAACGCCATCTCCTGGTGGGCAGACTAGGGTTTCCTCAGGCATGGAGAAATCATCTGGAGGTGGTGGCTCTCAGTCATCACCCGAGCTTTAGTCACAAATTTCTCATTAAATGATCTGATTTGCCGCTCTCATGAAGTAAGGGTATAAATTAGTTGGTATTTTTCTCTTATGGGTCCAAAATCCAATGTCATAATGCTGAAGTAGTTAGTTACGTCAGCTATTTTTTTGAGTGAATATGAAGTGTCATGCTCTTTTTTGCTAATGAAGTTAATGTATAAAATGCTCTATTTTGGTATATATATTTTTGTTGAATGTGGTTGAAAAATCCGAGTTCTCCCTCCTGTGTAATATGCTCTGGGTTTTGGGTACATGAACAGCTTATGCATTTGTTTTGTTGTTTTTTTTTGGACAGTAGTGAGTCTGTTTACTTGGCCTCCTATTGAAGAATTGTCTATATCGTTTCTTTTTTATGTCTTTGGTATTTCGTTTCGATATTATCGTATTCTGCTTGCTAATAAATTATGTTTTTTTTTTCGTTTTATCGAGAAAATGGAATATAGGCTTAGATAATACTGTCTGCCATAAATTAAGAGCGGAGACAGTGCCTTTGTCTCCCATATTCAGATGAGTCGTAAATGCAGACCGAACTTGAGGACGTCACAATAGATAATCGATATCAAGAACCATTCTCAGATGTGAGCGTTTGGAACTTGTGGAGACTGGGGTGTGGGAAGTGGAAATTGAGTGTGGAAAATTGGCAATGTGGGGAGCTGTTTTCGAAAAAAAAGTGAAGTGTAGTCTTTTTTTAAACGTGTTCGGATAAATCCGTGCACAACCAATGAATCATAATGCTAACAGTACCTCATTGCTCTCAGCCGCGACAAAAATTGTTACGTTCTTAGAAAAGTACCAGCTTAAAAAAACAAGAAACAGAAATATTCATTGGATAAGATCTCTTCAAATATTAAGTACTAAAGCTGTGTGAATAATTTTAATAAATCTTGTTCATTTTACAATGAGTAAAGCAACAATAACAAGCAGAGGATTATGGGGAATATTGAATAGAAGGAAGCGAAATACCTGTACACACTATTTCTTCATGTAATGTATCCATCCGTAAGCAGAGAAGAAGGATTCAATGTTGAAGGGCGGTGAATGATTAAAGGCAGCGGGCGCGATGGCAATCGGCGAAGCGGTTTTGGTGACGTCATTGGGGCTCATTGGTTGAAAGTCGTTGGCAGGTTCTTCCTACCGAAATCCCTACACCGACTACCAATGTCAACAAAACCGCTCCTCCTCTCATTCACTGCACTCTCTGCCTTCAGGTAATTATACAGTTATCACAGGAACTAGGGTACGTGTCTTATTAATATTCAATGTGAAAAGTTGTTAAGAAAATTGTTAATTGACTATTACTATTGTTGAGATATGAAACAATTGGTGACTAATTCCTGATTTTCGACCAGTACCGCTGTACTGGCCACTTTAATGCTACATCAACCAGTTCAGCCACAGCCTCTCTGTTAACCGTATTGTAGCGGTGGGTTCAACGTTGTAGACGAGGATACCTGGAACTAGGGAACTAGAGCGAGTGACATCACCAAACCTGACTCGGTCAAGATTACGACTTCCAGCCAAAACTACTGGCTCAGATTTCATTCAAGAACGTGTACATGCCAGAAATTAACACTATATGCATTTATGTTGGAAAAACTACTATGAGATAAGTGTTGATTGAGGGAAAAGGAAAAAAAGCATAGATAGCCCATCGTAGGTCGCTATTGTGTGTACCATCGAAGAATTCGCGAAAATTAAGGGAAGGTTGAGCGATAGTTAACTTCAAATAGACTGAGGATTGTCCTTAACACGTGACGACAACGCGTTTTGCGTTTTTGCGCCGCGTGGGACCAGAGCGATTTTGCAGGCGCCGCCGCCTCACTCCAACTCCATGAATTTTGAGCTTTAAAAGCGCAAAATGTGGATGTGACATAACGTTTCCAATGGTATTTGGTATGTCAAACCTAAGTGAAGGTGCAATTCTGAATGTTTGATGGAAATGATGTGCGATGGCAATGAAAGGGCGAGTTCGTTGCGTTCTCCGTAGTGAACCTCAAAATTATTTTTGACGCAATTATTTCACTAGAAACACATCCTGCCATGCGTATCGATGTGCTTTCTTCTACTACTCGTTTTTGTATTATTTTCAAAAGAAAGCAAAGAAAATGAAGAATGAGCCAAACCGAAGAGCTCGTAGCACTTGCTAAAACTTTGCTAAAGTTAAGAATATTCAACTTTTCGGGTCAACCACACCGCGTAAGGTTATGATGTGATCTGAAAGATTAATGCAAAAAATCAGAAAAAAATAATGGATATGCGGATATAAATAATAAACAATTCGGGTGTGAAGCGCATGCGCTGTAAAAACTGTCGTCAGCGTGTTAAAACCCCGCAGCGTGAGGGCTTGCCCCACGCGGGCATGCTGCACTACTGTATGTCGTCGCTTAGTGTATGATAAAGGTGAGGTGGGAAATTTTGTAAGCTTCCTGCTCTCTCAGTAGGGGGAGAGTAACTGCAGAGGGCGGGTATTTCTACCCATACTAGCCAGGAGTTTGGAATTTTCTGAATTGCTGCTTCCATAGCATTAAAATTCAAACTGCAAAGAAACGGGGATTGAAACTACAGCTGTGTCTTCTTGACCTCCGCTGTCCTGTATTGCGTGAGAGAACTAAAGTGGAAATTTTTATAAGCTTCCTGCTCTACCGGTAAGGGGATAGTAACTGCAGAAGGCGGCTACTGAGACCCATCCTAGTGAGGAATTTATGTTTTTCTGGATTGCTGCTTTCATTACCTTGAAACAATTGGAGGGTTGGAGCTGCAGCTGCGCCATCACCTGCGCTGTCCTGTATTGCGTGAAACTGAGGTGGGAATTTTTATAAGCTTCTTGCTCTACCATTAAAGAGAAAGTTACTGTCGAGAGCGGCTGCTGGTATCAATCCTATCGAGGAATTTGGAATTCTCTGAATTGCTGCTTCCACGGCCTTGAAACAATTGAAGGATTGAAACCCAGTACGACCTCGGCTGTCGTACGCTGTATGAGAGAGCGAAGGTAATTATTTTATATGCCCCTGCTGTATCAGTAACGGAGCGGTTACTGCAAAGGACGGCTAGCGGTACTGATCCTTGCGACACCGATCTGTACATTTATGGCTCAGGAGATGCCATCGATATCACTGAATGGTGCTTAATTCATCTTCGGCAATTGCTTAGTATTATTCCGCACCGCTGAGGCTGGAAATGGTCTGGCGAGTGCAATGCTGCGCCATACCCTCTATTTGTCAAAGGAGCGGTGCGAGGTTTATTATGGTTCTGAGGTTTGCCACCTCAATTCATCGTTTCTGCGCCAAGAAGAAGTGCTAGGAATACACTGCAAGACTAAAATTTTCATTTACCTTGTCCTTTAAGATCAATGTCTATAGTTCGCATATGACGAAATCTGCACCCAACACGCATTGCAACATATATTCGCCAAAGGCCATGACCGCAGCCAACCTTGAAAGATTGTGCTACTTTCTGAAGCAGCTCTGATGATTATGAAAAAAAATTGTAGAATAAATACATACCTTAGTGGGCGTGAAAGCAACTGAGTGGTCTCTGAATGGATGCAGATAACTGCTAAATTCTCCATTCGGGGCTTGTACCTGAACGGATGAAAGGAGTGACCTTGGACTGATCTTGCAAACCATTCTTGAAATCGTGTACACTGATGCTCCTACAGATTACATCGAACTCTAAATGTGAAAAGGCATTTTTTGGTTAGCTCATCGGGTCAAGCCTTCCTTTATAGCTCCTGGGCTCAGTCGAAGTTACTTTATGAATAAAAATGCGAAGCAAAGACGCTGAGGGTTAGAATATGCATCAGTGGAGACTCCATGCACCCAACCCTCGGTTCTCTTCCCCCCCCCCTCTCAGTGTGGCGGTACCGTCGTACGCTATGCTTCTCATCTCCGAGTCTGTTCTGACATTTCGGCATCAAGCGACTTTTATAATAGATCGCCTGTTGCGTACGCTTGGTAACCCAAAAAGAGCCTCACTCTCAGTATGAACCCAATCATGCCGCTTTTGATATCGAGGAATGCGTCCTTAAAGGCAGTGATCATGATGGTTGGAGGGTGGTTCGACATTAATGACGTCACTGATCGTCGTTAGTGGACCCCTATACCTCTAAGCACGCTGAAATGTGAGCTTGGGACCGCTCCCTAATGCTCTTCCACCTATTATGTTCAATGCGTCATCAGAACCGCAACGACCTTCAGCCATTGCTTCGATGGTAAGTTTCCTGTCGCTTAAAATGGGTCATCTACGATGGCTAAACCCGAGAAGAACTTTTTTCACCTGTACAATGACGTCAGTTGAACACGTACTCGTGAAACGTATTTCGATTTGACTCGCTTGTTGAGGGCACAGAAGCTTCTCATGAGGTTGATGACCAGCTCCAAATTTTTTATGGGATCTGAAATTGGAACGAGTTATCATTACATTGGTACCATGGATCGAATTATTCGATTCATTATTTTTCAGTATCGATTTTTCAACATCTGTTTATGACAACGTTTAATACAGAATTACAGGTTGCATGTTAATGATTACAAATCCTATTTTGTAAAAATTTATGGGCAAAAAGCAGTTGTTCTGAAATACTCTTCGGATTGAACCGAGGTTGTCCATCTATGTGTGTCATCTAAACTTTCCTTTATGCTGAAATTAAATGAAAATTTTCGGAATTGAATTTCATGTTTACCTCAACTTCCGTTCGAAACTGGTGAGACGACAGTCTTGCTCATACGGTTTAGCATCAGCTTTGCTGAATATCTGAATGAGGCTACAAGGAATGACTTGAGTCGGCTTGGGAGTAAAGATGGGTGGCGGTAAATTCTCTTCAATTGGTTGCAGAACTTGAAGATTACTTGAAGGTTCCTGTAAAACCCTTTAACAATTCAGTAAGCTGTACTTGAAGATTTCATGGAGCCCAACGTACCTGACTGATTAGGAAAACCGTTGGTTCCTTCGATACTGGTGGTTTCAGTGGCTTTGGTTTCTTCGGTACTCGTAAACTGCGCTAAAAATATCACTCGAAGAACAGAAAGTGTTACTATAAATAGCTTCGGCTAGTCGTTGCCAGAAATATTTTTAACTTTCGATGAACTTACATGCAGTCACTTCGGCAAAGGAAGGACATCGTGGAGGTGGCTTGACTGATAAGTTCGAAAGAGCGCTCTGTGTGGGCAAAGTTGCCGACAAGTTCCCCTACCATCGCCAGGGGCAGGGTCGACCACAAGGTTCGCACTTTCCAGAAAATTTTGCGACCCACCTTTAGGGGGGTCTCCCCCCACCACCTCTATCAGTCTCAGATGGCTCCCCATTACGATCACCCTTCCCCCTTCTCCAACCACCACCATGGCTCTTTTTATAGGGATTCAAAGACCAGTCGACACAGCCCAACTCCGCCCATTTTTCCTCCAAAATTGCCGTCAAGCGAGGAGTGGAGTTCAATTGGTATCATGAAACAGGAATCCACCAATTTTGCCTAATTCCCTCTACTTTCATGAAACTTTACCAAATTCTTCAAAGACCCGTCTAAGCACAATTCCTTTCAACGCATTCAACGACCTCCGTCAAGCTCTCCCCAATATAAGCCACCCTTGCTCAGCTTGCCCCCACCCCTTTTTCCGAAATCCCAAATGCTATCCCTTTGTTCGAATGGTGCGAGCGGACGGTTGACTCCGGCCAGGGTAGAGAAAAAAAAGCAGTGATGGCTCAGAACTCCGTTATTTCGTTCTACGTCGTTCTACGACATCTTCAGGTGAAAAGGTGATAATGAAGCAAAAAGATTGTACAATGTGAAGGTGATGTATCTTTCAGTGTCATCTTTGAAAATCGGCGCAGCCTTCTGGCGAGAGAGCGCCATGTGGTTTCGCGTTTCATCTCAAGACTAGTTTTAGGGCCAGCGTAAACTTGTGACCGAGTCTCAAGTTTAATTCCGAGCGTGACTACCACATTCTCGTTTGCTTAGAAGAGTATGGGATGGTCAGTCAATGGATGAATGCTCACTTATCAACCATCGTAGAAGCTCACTTTGTGCCAAAACAACGTGGGGCGTTTGATAGTTGCGAATCGGCAACTTGCAGTCGCAGTCTGTATTGCTTTTCCGTCCTTCTGAGAATTTTTCCTTCTACTTGCGGTCTCCTACAATTGACGTCTTGTTTCTAGCAGAAGCCACTCCTTACAGAAGAAGAAGTGCAGCAGTTAAGGGAACTATCTCGTGCGGTGAACCGAAAAGGATCAAACCAAAAAACGCTTGGAAATCAGGAAAACCATTTCTCATGCGCAGTGAATTTGAATTGAATGACTGGTGTGAGTAACAGAAATAAGGGTTCCCAGGAAACTTTTCAAGACCCGTCGTGAAAACTTCGTTGAAAAGTAATTGGTGGTGATAACGCTTGTCATTAGAAAGTTTATAGGTTGCTATTATTGCAGTTTAGAGGACGTTATTTCATCCCAAACATTCCCATTCACACACCCGGCCTTCTCTGTCTGCACCCCTCCCACCTATCACCATGAGCAGTGTCTGTGTCTCCAATGTCTCCGTGTTCTCTCGTCACGATGTCAGCTCATTCATCTTAGCGCGCATTAGTTGTCCATCGCCGGCTTCTACAAGGCTCGAATTTGGCTTTTAAAGGAGTGGTGCTTATTCTGGTACTGTGCACGGATCTGTCCACCTCTTCTTTACTAGAGAGCTTTCTGATGCACTGGTTAAACCCCATTCCTCCTATTTGCTCTCATTCAAAGCGCCTTCATGGATTACTGAAGCTGGATTGTTTCTGGTATTGACAGGCCTCCTCAATCTATGATCGATGGTTTGGCTAGAAGAGCAGTGTAGAAAGAAGGGGCAAAGTTAGGTGAGATGTTAGAAAGGGTCGTATGAGAAAACTTCTTTGAAACCATGTTTGACCTTGCTTTTGAATTTTCCTCTCCAAACATTCAAGTCTGAGTACAGTTGTATATTCCAAAGTACGAAAAGTACGAAAACCAGTACACGGCGATAATAATGTTACAGATTTCAGTGGCGCCCGAATGGAGCCATTTTTCACCCACACAGTACTGTCAATTTAGTACTGATGGGCAATAAATTACATTCGTTCCCGTGATATTAGTCGAGTTTGTGTTTGTGGCTTGTTTCGTTACGGTTGATATAAAAAACCTGTCAAACCTTGTAAAAGGTTAATACGTCAAATTTTCGTTAAGTTGATATACGCAACACATTTGTGATGTATATTCCACACGTGGCCAATGTTGATACTGAATGAAGCAGGATCGAACATGGCGGTGAGCGAAATTTTTAGATAAGGCTTTTCTCCGAGGTCTATCAAAATCCATTGCGAAATTGGTATATTTTCCCCGCTTAAAAAGAAATGTGAAGGTCGTAGAGTGCGAAGAGGACCATTGATGAAAAAATGCTACAAAAACCACGAAAAACACTGAAAATTAAAACCTTCTTTTTGTATGGTCGATCGCGATACTGTGGAAAGACTAAGCCGTAGGAGAAAAAAAGAGAGATACGCGAAAGAGTACGCAGTGCGAGAGAGCGCGAACATCTCGATTACTGAGACATTGTCCCATGCACTTTTGTCTTTCGAGTCGTGAGGGTGACCACATGAAACCTTCGTAGATGCATTTCCTCAAATTTTAGTGGAGCCACTCGGTGGTGTGTTCCCTGGGAGGGAACATTGTTCCGTATCAGTTTCTCCAAGAAATTGAAGTTTAGTGTCATGGTCTCTCCAATACTACGATAGCCGTTAAAGACTCGCTCCACGATTGGATTGGTATGACTACTGCGCCTGGAAGCAAAGGTAAAGGTGCGATGTGGTCCTAAAGTGATGAAAATAGCAAAAGAAACCATCAAAGTTACTATTAAGGGGCCAACATCTCTAGACCATGGAGGAGTCCGGGAAAAGACGGCAAAGCAAGCAATAATAGGTGCCGAGGAGTGAGAGTACGGGACGAGAGAGGTAGCTGCAATAGCGACTAGGTTGATGAGCATCAGCAGTCCTGACATGGCTTTAGCACTCTTGTTGGGCAGGTACCCGACAGGTGGCTCATCGCGCTGCAAGAACGCGGAGTCAGCGGACGAGTCGCAGCGCGTGCTGTGCGATGTAGGATGCAGAGTGGTACATTCTAATTAGATTGATCTCTACATTACGCACTGCGACTCGTCCGCTGCCTTGTTGCCGCGCAATGGGCCTCCTGTCGGGCACCCCTTGTTGCGCATTTTGAGCTAGAACAGCACATCTGCACATTCGCGGACAGTTACGCACATATATTCTACCCACCGAAAGGGCACCATCACCCAAATTTATCATAGGGTATGCCTTCGAACAGGGCGGTCACACTAACTGGTTTCCTTGACACGGAAACACCGAGATTATAACCGCCCAATGTTCACTGCCTTGACTTTGATGGGCGACAAGACGAATGGCGCAACTTTTTAGTGGAAAACAGTAAACGGTGTGTGGAATATTGTTGGATCAATGGCAGGACGAGAACCGATTCGCTTAAGTGCAACCCACGGAAATGGCACTTTGTGAGTACATTGTATCCTAGAGGTCAAAAACTAAGGTGGCTGAATATGAAATTGGAAATCAACAAAAATCAGTACACAAAAACAAAGCACAGACTACGTAAACAATTATTTAACGGCAACAAAAAGTAGTAAAAAGAAAGCGAAGTAAAAAGGTGAGAACAACTCGCCCACAACTCACTTACGTAAATCATGGCTTTGAATGAACTCTTCCTCGAAAATGGCTCCATCGTACAAGTACCAGTGGCGACCAGGTATTACTGGTACTACTTAGTATTCTGAAAATCGAACATGGTTATGTGTATGTATGTAAATGTATTACACACGATTCATAAATATTGATTAATGGGTGTGACAGACGGAAGTTTGAGCATTGGATAATAAATGAGAAGAAGGGCAGCAAAACAAGGGCGGCGTCCAAGGTATGTCTAGTATTTGAGATGGTCTCTTGTTTATAACATGGGCATAATTTCCATCATATAATAATATTGATTTCTTGAACTGTTATTTTCAGTTGGAGGCGTTACAAGAGTAAGACACAGAAAAATTGGGCGCAAAGTTATCACGGTTTATTATAGAGCAGCCTGTCATGTGCCAAAGTATACAAGGCCATATGAGAAACATACGTCATGCAAGTTGATGGTAGCTGATGGGTAAGTATTACCAACGGTCCACCTTATCTTTTGTGCTTCAAAATGACTTTTTGTTAGCAACAAGGTAATCGGGTGAATAAGCCTGGTGCTCTGTGCCGATCACCGTATTGTAAGGTTCAAAGATGACATCACTCAGTACTGATGCTGTTGCTACAAAAGCAATGACCCGAAGAGGTCAAAGTAGGGTCGCTCCTATCGTTGGTACTTTTTACAAAATTTTTACGACCCCCCTCTTCACGAAAGATTTCAGACGACCCCTTCGTCACAACATTTCTCCCTCGAAAAACACCGTCGAGCGGGGGAGGGGTACATGGTTCCCGTGAAACAAAAAAATCTCCTCCCTTTACTTCCCCTTAATTTCCACCTCGTTCCACCTATTTTTTCCCACCCACTACAACATTTTCTAGAGGGAGGTATATACACACGCTGAAACGGCAAATTTTCTGCCGCGCGCTCTCACCTCATTCCATGTAATTTCGTGCTACCGATACAAGTACGACCCCCCACACCACAAACTACGACCCCCCGTTGGTACTTGTACCAACGTAGGGTTAACCCTGGGTCAGGTCTTCTGAAAACAGGATATTCGATAAAGGGGTGAGGAAGAGGATATAGAGCTGTATAACAGTGTCGTGGTTGTCATCGGCTGAATACGCTTAGTGTTTTCACTTGGGAGTGATGAGTCTTTCTAGCAGCTCTAGAGCCCTAGACATAAACGTAAGGTCACTACTGATACCAATGACAGCGACGGCGCAAACTGAAGGGCATATGCGAGTGTAAAGGAAAAGTTACTCCCTTGCTCATGGTAATACCAGCGAAGCTCACCTCACATAGAATGACGGGTTTATGGCAGGATCAGCCTCCACCTTGAAGGATTCAAGGGGGTGGGTGGATTGTTTTTGCTCTGGAGAAGAGGGCACCCTTTTAGGTGACTCCGCAGTGGGTTTTTGGAAGAGATGAGAAGCCTCAGTGAAGGTTTGGGAATTTTTCGAAACCCGTTAAGAACCCTTCAATCTTTACAAAAAACATTATGAAACCTCGAATGTTTACAAAAAACATTGGGAAACCTCGATTCTTCACAAAAAACTGAACACTCCACAAAACTTTTTCAACAAATTCTTTGAGGTAGGGCTTGTGCGATACGAGCGGCAAGAGCAACAGCTTCTAAGAACACGAATCAAATCTCAAACCTAGAAATTGAGCTAAAGAGGGTAATGAGGAGGTTAAGTGACCTGTGTAAAAAAATTTGACAATGGACCACCCCTCTCATGTAGGGGCTTTTAACGACCCCGTTCACTGAGGTGTACCTAGTGTCCCTGAACCTGGATCGCCTTGCCATACTTCGAAAGCCTTCCAGATTCTTCAAAAGAGCGTCAAGTCCCAGCCGGCACATTGGTATAGCTCATCTGAAACTGAACCAATAATGTTCGGCACTTGTCCCCGTGCCACCACTGTTTTTCACAAATTTAAAAATGGTTTTCATTTTCAGATCATTTTCTAAAACTATATGCCATGATATGCACTTTGTACATCAAATCCTAAACTGAATTCGCCTTTCATCTTGTATTTCAATACATTAAAGCGTTTGTTATAGCTCATATCGATCCACGACCATTGGATGTAGCCGACCCCTCGTTCGACGGTCTGCCCTCTCCACATATCCACAGTCCCTTGCTTTTTGCCGGTCCCTCGATTTCGGCGAGACACTTTTTTTTTGGCTGCCGATGGCATCGACGATAGATCAGGGCGGTCACCGTATACGTAGTTGCGTGGAAGTGAAGATCAAGGGAAAATCTGTGTTGAAGTTTGTACTACAAAATGTATATGGTTCTACGGTGTCTTCGACGCTGATCCCGAATACGGATTTTTCGTTTTGATTCACCAAGAATTTGTGAGGAAATTTTTCAAGTGAGCGCACACAGCGC